AAAGCGGGGAGAATGGCGCTAGGCTTACCGCACCGTGACGTCACTGCTGGAAGATGGCAGGAGGGAGGGGCTACTATATTTGGGCAAAAATGGCCGCTTATTGTTTTTATTGTTTTACCGATTAACACTAAATTCATTAAATCATTAAATAACTGCGAACGTATTAGTTTTATATATAAATAATGATCCATTGGTTATTCCTCGCTCTCCTTTAAATAAGCCGTAAGCTACGTTGATCCAAACACAGAAACATGAAAAACTTATTTATTAACAGTTTCTTTCTGGTTTTCTAAAAATAACATCCAGCTTCTTCTGGTTTTTTCCTGCCTTTCTAGTCCTGTTATCTCCTCAGTAGTGACACCTAGAGTTAAAATGAGGTACGACGTCTTACTGCTTTGCTTGAAATGTGACGTGACTCAGGTAAGGAGTTAAACTAATTAATGTCTCTGTTCTGTGAGGTGATTTAAAGCAGAACTTTGCTAAAGTTTGACTGTAATGTTTTAACTGCCATAAAGTCTGAGTCTGTGGTTGAACTGGGACACTGCTGCTCGCTCTCTAAGTGCTTACTGGGCTAAAATCACTTTGAAATGAAATGATTCTGGTTTTTCACACTTTTCTAACGGCACATTTACAGTTTTTACAACGATAATACAGTTTGTTTCTATTTATTCAAAGATGATAACAGTTATTCAAATGTAAATTTTCTCAATTCTATTTTTTAAATGTTGGAATTTTTTGCAACACTTTTTGTTTTAAATCTTAAAAATCAGAATATGTATTTTATAAGGCTTAAAATTGGTATCTTCTTAGAGGTTCGGTATTAATCTGTGATTTGACTGCGTGAGCGACGTTTACACTGCAAAAAATATAAATCTAAAAAGCTATTTTTTTCTTAAAATTAGTGCATTTTGTTTTGAATTCAGCAGAGAAGTGAGACACCTTGCAACGGAACAAGACAACAATTTACATTTAAAATAAGAAAAAGAAACTGCATTGTCTTATTACAAGCACATATTATCCAATTATCTTATTAAAATACTAAAAATACTAATTTAATTGGCAGATCATCTTATTTACCTATAAAAATTAAGGGTAAATGTTTCAGAGGTGTGTGAAGTTTCCGTCATGCACACTGGAAAAACAATCTAGAAATAAGTAAAAATGTCTTAAATTAAATTCATTTACACTTAATTTTAGTAGGAAAATAAGATGACTTGCCAAGAGTAAAAATACTCATTCTAGAGTATTTTTACTCTTAGAATAAGATAATTCAATAATATGCACTTGAAATAAGACAATGCAATTGTTTTTTCTTATTTTAAGTGTAAATTTCCTTTTTCCATTGGAGAAATGTCTCTTTTAGCTCCTCAATTCAAGAACAAATACATTTATTTATCTAGATTTAGATTTTTTTCCAGTGCAGGCTGACATGAAGGTTAAACTTTCCTGTGTTGCTCAGAGAGGTTTTATTTTGGTTGTTTGATTTTTAGCCTGAATCTGAAGCCAGCTTCTCCGACTGAATGTTGATCCACAGAGGATCCTTCACCCACAGAAATATTTCCACAGCATCTTCTTCCTCAGGAGGTTTTCTACGACATGAACGCACATCGAGCACCTCTCCTCTCGCACCGACGTCTCTCTACCAGCATCCTTTTGTGTACAATATTTGTACGTGTTGAAAATATTCCTGTTAAAATGAGGTTTACTTGTGTTTTATTGCTGCTTTCAGTGGGATATTTTCTGCAGAAATAAATAAAAGTTCTGTTTATCCCTGATTCACAATAAATTGTCATATTCTGTATCCTGTTCTGTCCTCTTTCTGTTTAAACCGGGTTCAGTTTTTATGCATCGTCCTTCTTTAACTCAAAAACTTCTTTTCCTGTCGGCCCCCTCCAGCCTCTAACAGCTCATTTTCCAGGAGTCACTCAATGTTTTCCCTCCATCTCTCTTCCTATCAGCTCTGCCTGTAAGTGGGGAAGGAAATAAACTGCTTTTTTCTCCGCATGTAAAGTTGAACATATTTTTATGTTCCTGCTCTGAGTGACATGAAGCTAAAACAACTAGTATTTAATGATGGGCAGAAATATGTAGGTGTTACATTAAGGTTAAGAGGAAAAAACTATAAAATGAAGAGGATCTCAGAGAGGAGCTAATAAACGATGAAGTACTCAACCGTAGTACTTCAGCAGAAGTATTGATACTCATAGTCAAATCTCATTCAACTACAAGAAAAAATGATTCTGTCAAACATCCACTCAGGTTAAAGGTATAGTGGAGGAATGTTAAGAATTTTTTAAAAGACCCGCACTCTGCACTTCAAAAAAATGCACAAACACACAACTCTGTACTGGCTCCCGAGAAGGAACACTATTAAACACGTGCGAGAGCGTGCACGAGCCCATTTCTCCTCGTGCACACTCTGTTTTAATGACCCCAGTAAAGTCAAGATACTCAAAAACATGTACTTAGTACAGTAATCAAGTAAATGTACTTTGTTTCTTTCCACCACTGCTGATAAAGAAGAAGAAAAAATATTTTAAACTGAAACTCTGACTAAACCTGCAGATTAAAGTATTAAGCGCTGAATTACTAATTAATCTCTTCTGATTGTCATATTTTTTCTTTATGAACTGATCGATAAATTCAGAGTAAATATTAAATCTGTCAGAAAGCTGTGTTCTGAGGGATGATTTGATCCAGGGAGCAGCTCCGGCCCAGCAGGGGGCGCCAGACCAGCGGCTACTCCTCCATGGTGGGAAGGAAGAGCAGCAGGTTGATTAACTTAAGTACAGTGGTGTCAAAAATTCACACATCTGTTACTTCAGTAGAAGTATAGATACTGCAGTTTAAAAACACTCTGGTAAAAGTTGAAGTATCAGCTTGAACTCTTTACTCAAGTAAAAGTGAAAAAGTATGAGCTCCAAAAACTACTTAAAGTATAAAATTATAAAGTAACCTTCAAAAAAAAAAAAAAAACAGCCAGATGCAGAATTTTTTGACTATTTGTAAAAATTCTTTGAGACAGGGCCAAGGATGAGGGAGGCCTGTTGGTCTCAGAAAATGGATAAATAGAAAGTACAGATAGTTGTGTGAAAATCTAATGAGTAGAAGTTAGAGGTAGGAAGAAAAATAAGTAATGGAGTAAAATATAGATACCTAAAAAGTGTAGTAAAGCACAGTGATGAAGTACTTGTACCTCTGCTTAAGTAAGACAGAAATTAAAAGTATCATTAAACAAAGACTGAAGGAAAGGTGGTAAAAGAAAAGAGAAGAAGATGTTTTTATAGGATTTAATGAAAGTCAGAGAAATGAGGAGCAGAAAGAAGCAGAGGAAGATTTGGACGGACTGCATTAAATAATCCACTATTCAGAATTAGGAGACA